GCGAGCCACATTTCCTGCACAGAGTGTTGGAATGCTTGTTGCTGTGTCGTTGTCAATGTTCAGTCTATAATATTGCAATAAGTCAGACTTTAAGTTTTTACACAAAAATCGACACTGCTTAGAAACTTTAGTTTTTAAACTTCTTCCACCACAAGCACGACACAACTTGTTTAAATTCTCAAAGTGGATGTTATAAGAGTGTTCCATCTTTGATGTTAAAAGGCTCTATAATTATAAACACACAAGAAAGTCAGGCGGCAAGTTCCCGCTTCACAGAGTTTTTCTTTGCACCGAGCGTTGCACTAGACTAATCACATAAAGTGCGCTAGTTCATGGAAATTTAGCTCCTACCCTGAGACTTTTCACCACAATGGAGAGAAAAGATTTATAAAAAGAAATGTGAAGGTTAAAACAAAAATTGTCGTTTCCAATTATTAAAATTCTCGTTTAAATCCAAAAACTTCAATAACACAGAGATGTACAACAGTGGTAGTATATAGGTATCCCAAGGGAGTATAAAACGAGATAGAAACTGGTTTTAAACTGCGGGTTATAGAGGAGATGCTAGCTTTTATTTGGTATATAACACTCCTAGGTTTACGGGATGGAGAAAGGGAGTATTATGCCGTAAATTCCAGTTAATTTCTTGAAATTGTACCCTTTCCGCGCGGAGCGGTCAGATCTAGGGATAGGCCGGTGGAAGTGGCGTAACGCGTCGAGATTTATTACCTTCCGCGAGGGGTCACAGGGGTCAGAAGGGTCAGACGAGCTACAACTAAGTGCGCCGCTCGGAGAGTGAAACTGAACAGCCGTGTCTGATGACCTCTTGACAAATAAACATTTATTAGAAGCGCTATAACTTTTCAGGCCGGCCTCAAATTCATTCATAAGATAAAAACTCGGCTCCTGCACAATTTAACGCCATTTTGCCCGAAGTGATCCCGGTCTCTACCCAGCCTGAGACGAGTCACGAATGAGGCAGGACAGGAAGCCGGAGTCACAAGTCACAGGAAGTCGGCAGTGATGTCATGCTGGACAAGAATCAGAGTCCGAATAACATTTTTTCATATTCGGACTCGAGTCCGAATAGTCACTTAGTTTGGCTTTATCTTAAAAAATGCTGCCAAAATGTTTATCTCTTTGCTCCTGGAAATTTTGTCCAGTGACTCTCCCATTACGCCAGGACTGATTTTTTCAGAGCGCCTAGATCTAAATCTAGATCTAGGATTCTAGGTCTATCTATAAAATTACGGGAACAGTAAAAGTAAAGTTGTTCCCGCATCCGATCCGCACATTTTGGATTGCCTTGTTAGTGAGACAACTTACATCGGGGGCCTTCCGCATATTGTGGTAGGGTGGCCCGTTCCTTTCCACGCCGCCTTTACTTCCCCAACCTGAAGTCAGGTACCCATTACTGCTGGGTGGGCAGTACTAGCAGCTGTACCAGCTTTGTTGACATTGCTGGTAGATCTACTAGATGTAGACTTTTAGAGCAAGCTATCAAGTTCTTTTTTATTTATTTAGTAGAGAGTTTTACGGCGCTCGCAACTGAATAAGGTTATATGAGTGCCAAGGCGTGGGTGTCAACAAATAAGTCTTTACAGGGAATCAGACTTACTCTGCTCACCTCTCTAGCTTCAACAGTACAAGGTCTAGTGCTGTGCAGTGGTCGATGTTTTCATAGTCGATTATGATCGATTTCTAGAGTCGAAAAAATCGATGATCAATTAATCGAAAAAATGGAGTTGTGAAAGGGTTGCAGGGACAGGGGCGCAAGCCATGCCGGACGCAGGGAACGGAATCACTGGGGGGGGGGGGGGGGGGTTTTGTTGCTTTTTTAAAAATTTTTTTTTTATTCTGCAATTTATTTATTCATGATATAGTCTAGATTTAATAAAATTTCAGTAAAACCTCATGTTATTTTAAGGTGAAACTGAGGTCAGTCATAAAATTATATTGTTCAAATATCAAATCATAAACATTCCAAAGAATTGAAGATCAATATATATAGATCTAGACTCTAGTTCTAATAAAGTTTTGGTAAAATCTCATATTATTTTAAGATGAAACTGAGGTCATACAGTAAGAAAAATGCCATCATGATCGACATCGAACATGGCTCGAAAATCGATTTCGATCTTGAGCATCGCGATAATCGACGATCGATTACAAATCATAGTCGATTATGCACAGCACTAACATAACAAGGTCTGCTTCGACTATCAAAGCACCCCGGAAATAATGGGTCACAAGAGTGTGACAAACATACAAAAGAAGTAGAGGAAAATGACAATAGTAAGGATTAGGAAAGAAAATAAAAGCAGCAGTTCCCTGTTGTAGACCAGGCACAGTTATGAGCGTGACATGATGAATCGGCCCATTTACAATTCTACTGTGCTTGAACAAGAAATGTCCCCCCCTTTGGGAATGGCCTGAAGACACTACAGTTAGTGGTACTACCCCGGGGTGTATAAAGTTCTACTGGATGATTCACATACTACCCCTGATAGAGTATGACACCCACTCAAAGTCTGGTCAGTTTCATCCCTGCTGTTCTCACCAGTTGGGAAAATTTTACTAAGGTCTAAGTCGGTGTGGCCGACAATGTAATCATTAGGGGCCTATTTAAAAAGAAGCTTATAAATATTATAATATATATCAGTCACGTCGACCAGCGAAAAGCTTGGCAGGGCTTTTGTTTTGCCCTGGGCTATTGTTGCCATTGTAAACAAATGGGTTTGCTTTATTTTGATCAACACTTCAGACTTTTAAAAAATATGCAAAGTTCTCTTTAAAAAGCCAACTATTAACGAAACTGGCTGTGAAGCTTCCGGTCTTGACACAAATACATTCGCAAGTCACAAAATATCGCCGAAAACAGCAGTAGGAACCATTTATAATACCATATATGAGAAACAATGACTGAGTTGTTCCTTCGTGGAAACCACGTTTGGCTGAGTTTGACGGAGTCGTGGCTCCGGACGCAATGAGTTTTAAAGCTCCTTGACCTGTTTCAGTCATATGTTGTTCACATGAATAAATTGAATTGCTAAATTTTTACTTTCACTCCCGCACACAGATACACTGCTTTGAGGGGCAAACAATAACATAAACTGCAGTGACCAATGAAACTGTCACAAATCGGTTATTTTCAAGAAAATTCCAAACCTTATTGCAAAACATAAAATTATGTGTAAGCCACCCCTCGATTCAGGTTAGGGGTTCATTTCAGTGGCTGTTCCTCCCTCTCTGTCAATTATACTCCCAAGATAGCGGAAGGTTTCGACCTCTTCAAGTTCATTTCCCTCTACTATGACTTGCCCCTTTCGTAGTGTATCTATCCCTAGGACTTTTGCCTTTCCAGGGTGGATCCTTAATCCAACAGACTCTGATAGTGATAGGCTGTTTGAAATGTTGTCTTTGCTTGCATCTGTTCTTGAGTATGTGACAGAAGCGCCAAGTCATCTGCAAAGTCCAGATCATCCAACTGTGTCCAAGGGATCCACTGTATGCCGTTTCTGTGTCCTCTGGTGGTTTCCTTCATCAGTCTGTCGATTGCCAAGATAAAGAGGAAAGGTGATAGTAAACATCCCTGTCTCACACCAGTCTTGATCTCAAAGCTGTCAGTGAGCTGGCCATCATGTTATAACCGTGCAATTTGTACCTTCGTACACACTCCTGATGAGGTTAATCAACTTCTGTGGGATTCCATACAATGCCTCACAAATACTGATGAAAAGGATAAAACGCACTGTTGCACTTGTGATGTTACTGTCAACCAGTTTGCGTTGCCTTCTTTTGATCTTACTGAGCTTCTCCTGTTGGTGTGTTACAGAGCTAACAGTGTCCAGCAGTTGTCCTTTTGCGCCATGTGTGTTTTCCATAATTTAACAAGATTGACTGTGAAAAAACTTGTCCTGGTCTATGAAGATGATATTGGCTCCTTTGTTGTGTTTAATTGTTTTCTCACATAGCTGTTGAAATGCAAACACAGAATCAGTGCATCCTATTCCTTTGCGGAATCCAAACTGAACCTTGTTCAAGTTTCTCTATACAATATGATCCTTCACTCTCTTTGTGGCGCAGTAAAGAGTTGCCTCTATATTGAGTACAATCTAGTTTGTTGCCTCTTTCTTCTGCCATAATGGTACCGCTATGCTCTTCTGTCAATGTTTTGGGCATATATGTCAGTTAAGTGATCTTTACTTATTCCAGTTTTATAGAACTAAGATAGTCAAATCTGCGAGTGTGATAAAATGGTCCTGTGATGTAATTTTTACTTTTCCGGAGTATTATTCTCTTACATGGCTGTGTCCCATCTGAATCTGATATTCAGTACAACAAATAATGAATTGCTCTGCGGTTCTGGACCAGAAGACATAATTTGTATAGTTACTAGATGTATTGGCATTGGGATTAGGAACGTTTGAATACACATTTGCATCTGAAGGATTTGCTGGGAAAGTATTACATCACAAAGCAGATTGTCTATTTTTTCTTAAAAGCTTGAATTTATCTAGATATTTTGGGGGAAGACATTATATAACTTTCTTGTCTCAAATAGTTAGTGAATGCATTTTGAAGTTTCAAGTCCTGGTTTGGAATCGAATTGATTTCTAATCGACATATAAAAGCTTGAAAATATTGAAGTGGGAAATATAATCACCAGCTTTTTGCCGGGTTTTTTTTTCCCCCTGTTTTCAATCCAGTTGTCACATGTGTACTTTCCCCCTTCAACCCTGATCCATCTAAAGCCGTTCAAGGGCCAATAATTTGTTTTTGGAAGCACTAAATAGCAGATGATTTGGTCGTATCTTTTGAAAGAAACATAATATTATTATGTAGACAGGTACCTTGTCAGGGTAGATTGCAGACTATTCCACTATTTAGCAATAAAATGTGCTATGAATGAGGCTATTTCAATTAACTGCAAAATATAAAGACTAGTAAATGGAATTGTGTATTCATAATGTATTATTTCAATCTCTTTCCAGTACCCGAAAACTCAACCCATCGAGGGTCAAGCCTATATTATGCTGGGAGCTCTGTCTTTATTTAAATTTTGTCTCTCACTTCCTTGAAGCTCTTGAAGCATTAGTTGAGACCAGTGACGCTTTTCTGGGCCTTTGATTTTCTTAACAAAATGGCTATGGCTAACTTTTGCTCAAGAAATTGCTCAAAGTCACTTAATCTTCTAGCATGGCAAATGAAAAGAGGACAGTTTCCATTCGCAGCTGTGAGAATTTTCCCCAGTCATATAGGAAGAGACCTCAGTAATGTTTATAATCAGGATTCCAACAGTGCTTCTGGTTCCACGCCTTCTGAGAAGGATAATGTTTCACCTCAAAATGACACTGATAATGAAAGTGTCTCAGACGACTTTTCTGAAAAGTCACCTCATAAACGGTTGCACACTTCTGCTCCATTACGAAATCGCAAAGAAAATCCCAAAGATTCCATGAGCTTCTTGTTATCCCATGACAAACAATCGGACAAGCATTTTTCCAAGAACAAGCAATACTTTGAACGCATCTGGCTGTCTCAGCGGCCGGAACTTAAAAACAATACTAGGCATACAGATGCACCAATTGACCCAGCCCTTCACAGAGGGAAAGAGTTTGTACTTCCCTTGAATGATTCTGATATATTCGGGACTTTGAGTGTGAGTGAGAGTGGTGTTTCTTCATCACAATCCCTGCCGGTTTCTGACATCAGGGATCCAAATGAAAGGTATGTAGTCCATAACACATTGTTCTTGGTTATTATTGTAGATGTTCTTAGGTGTTGGTCAAGCTTTAGGTTGGTTTTAACCGGGGTGCGACAAGGACATTTTGGGGCTGTAATATTTACTTGACGGACTCTTTTATTTTTATAAATAAATGCTTATTCTTCCATGTGTGGGGGGGCTCTGTAGCTCAACGGGTATAGTGTTTGCCTTTCAACCCGGAGGTCCAGAGTTTAATCCCCACCAGTGTTGGTGTTTTTTTCTTCTCATGTTTTCTACACACGCTGAACCTAGGGAGGGTAGGGTCAAACACCTAGTCTTCTGGGGTAAAGATGAAAAATTTCAGAGCTCTCAGATATGGAGATTTTCCATGTTTAAAAAGATCCCTTAGTGGGTTGTAAAATAAAGAAGAGTAGAGATCTTCGAGTCACCATCCAGACAAAATTCAAAATAATTCTTACCCAAAACTGAAGCCACTGTATTCAGTATAAATATTTAAGAGTATCTTTGAAAATGGCACATGGCTGCCTGTTAGGAAAGGGATTATTCTACATTGTAGATGCAGATGAAGGGGCCGGTGTGTAAGAATCAACGGCACTGTGACATGAAGATCTTACAATGAATCAACTGAATCACTTCCTGATCTCTAGCTAGGGTATGAGGAAATGATTCATAGCCTCAGAGATGTTTTTCCCTTTCTCTTTTCTAGTTTTTCTTGTCTCTGTGTGTGCATGACTCAAGCAGTCATAGTCAATTGAATATAATGAGATGTGAGATAACATCAGATATTATCTTCTTTCATGATTAAAGCTCGCTCTCTCTCTCTCTCTCTCTCTCTCTCTCTCTCTCTCTCTCTCTCTCTCTCCCTCTCTCTCTTTCTCTCTCTTCACAATATAAATTTATGGACATACACACCCCACAGCTCCTGAAATATGAGTGTACATGAGGCCAAACAATCTGTAGCATTATTTTAAAGTTTCTACATTATTGTACTTGAGTTTACATTATACAGTGGTCATAAAAATACTACTCAAAGATAATCTTTGACCTTGCAGAATTGATGAACTCTTGCCCCAGGACGAGGATGCACCAAGAGATCGCAGACTAAAGATTCCTTTGACTAGATATGGTAGAATCGGCAAACAGGCATTTTTCTACACCAGAAAAATGTCCATGTTAGGAAAAGAAGGAAAGGTAGTAATTCACACAAAAAATTCACTTTTTAGTTTCAGATCGTAAAAGATTAAATGAGATGAGGTGTGTAGTTGTACTACTTGTTGTTGTGCTGTTATTGTTACCTGTCCCGTTGCTTTTGAGTCTCTGAACTGATGACAGTCAAGCATGCACACCGGAAACATGCACAAAGGAAACAGTTTTTCTGGTCCTTAATTTTTTCTTACTTATACGTATACATGTATAATCTGTACTTGAAACGCAATATACATATATTATATATTGAAACACAATATACATATATTAAATATTGAAATTGGTACATAATCTTAATTAAAAGATTTTCCTGTCCGACTGACTGCACTATATGCTTGCTAGACTTTTGTTACTCTGTTTAAAGTGTTGCCAGTGTTAAGCTGACGGGGGGGGGTAGTTGACCCCTCTTTTCCCAGATGATGGGGTAGTCAAATAATTGATGTTTGACTGCTTTCCCAGGGGCATCCCTGTTCTGGCTGGTTACATGTGACATATTGGGTCTTCAAACTTGAAGAAGACAGTGGTAAGCTGGTCTGTCCTGAGAGGGTGGTTGACGGCTTCAAAATTTGGAGCTGATGCTTATAGAGCAGTTTGCTGCTTGTACCACTTGTCCATCTGTTCAGTTAATAAAGTTTGTTTGATCTAATATGGTCAGATTGTAATTGTTTGATAATTCCTGCTATTGCTAAAATATTTTAATACCTTATATGTTTCACTATACCATGTGCCTGTTTATAAAGATGGAACTCTTACAAAAACCTTTGACTTCCTTTCTATGGTTTCTCACCCCAACAGGTTGAGGAGGCCATCGCTGTGTTTGAGCACGACATGATGATCAGGGACAGAGTCATGCCAAACAAACGGACTTTTGTCACTTTGCTGGGGATACTTGGACGTGCTGGACACACCACAAAAGCTTTCCAGTTGTTCCGAAAGGTACCTATAACTTTCTCTATCCGGTTGGTTTTCTGTTGAGTCAAAAAACTTTTTTACGTTGTATTTCTTCACAATATTGTGGCAATGTGTCTTGATGGTTTTAGCAAAAATGAAGAGAAGATACCATCTCTTAATAACAACGTTTATGTATACTTATATACGAGTACATGCTACATTTTTAGATGTATACGCCTCTTTATCTAATAGAGCACTATATAAATGCAATCAATACTGTTAATTAATATTATCATTATCATTATTATTATTATCATCATTATCATTGCTATTATTATTATTACTGTCATTATTATTATTATTATTACTATTACTATTATTAATGTTATTATATTGTATTAAAATGAAATTGTCGGCTGTGCTGATGTACAGATGAAGCAGCTGGGCCTTGATGCTGAAGATCACATGTACACCAGCCTGTTCAATGCTTGCGCCAACTGCCCTTCAAGAGCTGAGGGTCTGCGGAGGGCTCAGAACTTGCTCAACTACTTCCAAGAGAATGACATCAAGCCAAATTTGTTTACTGTCAAGTCCGCCATGAAGGCATTTGCTCTGTGCGGTGACTTCCCCCGAGTGTTTGCGCTGATGGATGATGCCGCTCAGCGACAGAGGCTAGACGTTCAATGTTTTAGCCCGTTACTGATGGCTTGTATTGCTGATAAACGTGCTGGCTTCCGCAGAGCTATACAAGTATGTAGCAATTTTATCTCAATCATTGGACATTATTGTCCCTTAGAGTGTCAGATGCCTGTACTATCTTCTGCCTCATGGAT